TGGGCATGAGCCTTTAGGGCACTCACGTAATGTTGTTGTCGTTGTCACGTCTTGTTTTGTTTTGTAGAACTTTCGGGAAGGATACCATATGGAAACCCCAAACCCACCTCTAGGGCTGTTCTCTTATGAGGCTCAGAACTACGACAATTAGAAGAACAACCCGCCATGACTGCAATTACTGATTAATACCAAATTGCCACGCCAAGATACAGATTGGTTCCATAAAATGCCTAAAAAAATTAACCAAGCATCATCATAGCCTCTTTTGCAGCTCTGTTTACCCTTTCTTTTCCTTCCGACTCTCATTTCTTTTCCTTTCTAACCAAACATCAAAACATAGTGTAAGTTCTTTTGCAGCCTCTTTTTCCGATTCTCTTTTTTAGGGTTGTTCCCTTTTCTCTTTTCTTTCTCCTTCTAAATTCATTGAACAAAACATAGTGTAAGTTCTTTCTTTTTTTCTCGAGTTCCTTTCCTCAGATGAAGAAAGACAGAAAGGGCTGTTTTAAAATGTAGAGATCATGGGCAAATTAGATGGAGGCAACTGCCCCTTTCAAGAAACTCCCATCCCTCTTCAGCCTCAGTCCTTTCTAGGCTACAAAACCGTGGATCTTTTATTTTAATACTATGTTTGGCTCAAATAGTTGAAATATTTGCACTAAATAACAATAAAACTTAAGTCATTTCCCTAAATAGCACTTAAACTCTTTTTTTCCCTAAATAGCACTTAATAATGTCCAGTGATGGCAAACATTTACTTGAATAATGACTAATGGATAATGACTAAAAGTGCTACATTGGGGAAAAAACACATGTGATGCTATTTAGAAAAAGTCATTATGTTTTAGTGCTATTTAAGTAAATTCCTCCAAATAATTTGGCAAGAAAAGAAAAGAAAATGATTCTTTCATTTTCCTCACCAAAATGAGAGGAATTTAATTTTTTTTCCTCTTAGTACATTTTGTCTCCTCTTTTTCTTTTCCTTTCACTTTTATTTTCTTTTCATCATTAACCAAACATAAAAAAAATTTCCTCTCATTTTCTTTTCTTTTTCCCTTCCAAATTCCTTAAACCAAACATAGGGTAAGGGAAAGATTTACAAGAATGGGAAGAAAACTGTTTGTCATGAAAGGGTTGTTTGGCTATTAGGGTGGAACTAGAGAAGACATGGCAGAGGAGAGAGATGCAACTGCCCTTTCAAGAAACTCCCATCTCTCTCCCTTTCCTCAGCAAAATCACAAACCTACACCTATATTTCTTATTTCATTCCGTTCTGACCTCCTAGGGCTCTTTTCTTATGATGCTTGAAAGTCAGAACTACAACAATGAAAGAAACAATCCCCCATGACTGCAATTACTGTTTAATCACATATTGCCACGCCAAGATAAGGATTAGTTCCACAAAATGCCATAACATGACTCGCCAAGTTTCATCACAGTCTCTTCTCGGTAACAGTAATAACAAAAATCCATTCTTTCAACTACAATTCTGATGTTTTAGCCTTTTAGGCATAGAAAATGAGGGATAAGCAACAGGAACAAGTGAAAGTCACTATGTTTTAGTACTATTTAGGTAAATTCCCCAAAAACAATGTCTAGTGGAGGGAATAATGTCCAGTAATGATAGATATTTAGCTTGAACAATGAAATAAAAATATAAAGTACTACATTGAGAAAGTCACTATGTTTTAGTACAATTTAGGTAAATTCCCCAAAAACAATAGTAATAGAATTATCTTATAAGTTATTACAACTAAATTACTACTGTTTTAGTTACAAAAAGAGGCAGAAGAAAAAACAGACATATACCATGAGAGTATGAGACAATAATGCATCTCCAGCAGCAGCCTTCCCAAGAACATTTCAATTTTAAAAAAAAAAATCTATAATTTCATCAAAATTAGAAAAATAGACAGAATTCCCACACCCCACTATAAAACATTTTCAACTGAAATGAACAAAAGACATACTCCTTCCCTCTAGATTTAATGAGAAATAAACCAGAAATATTTGACTTTTTAAATTCCTTTTTCAAAAATGGGATTTTTTTATTTAACTGAGAGGGAGAAAACAAAAAAAATCAAATAAAATAGACATGATGACACTCGGCTGGGAAGAAAATTGACAGAATCAAACAGATTGAGCTTAGGGTTTAAGACCCAATGTGTAATAGCAACTAAGAAAGAACAAAGGGGGGCGAATAATCTTCCTAGAGGCTCAGATCTGTGTTTCCAGAGGGAATCGAAGAGCCCAAACCGCCATGGCTGCAAGGTCCGGGTCCATTTCCGGGTTGCCCCGCCAAGATACGGATCGGGTCAAACGAAAACCCTCAATTTTAGTAGCCCAGAAAGAGGAAACACAGAAAAAGTATATCATCACGGCCTCCTCTTCATCATCATCATCATCGTAGATCTAACAATAGGGTTTTGTTTAAGGTACGGTATATAATACGAGTTACTCTGTAGTAGTATTTCCCAGAGCGCTGGTTGCATGGTTATTGCTTCTGCTATTTCCCTTCTTCAAGTTTTCTTGTGTTTCTTTCTTGCTTGTTGAGGGAAAAAAAGAAAGGAAAATGAAAGAGAAGAGAAAGGGCTGTTCGGAAAAGGGGCGTATGCAGATTGAGATCATTGGCAGAGGAGAGAGAGGCAACTGCCCTTTCAATAAACTCCCAATCTTTCTCTCCTCTTCGCCTCACTCCTTTCTGGGCTACAATGACTGCTTCTATCATCTTCACTCGTTTATATATCCTATATTTTTTTAAAGATAATGTTTGGGAGGATTTGTAAAGATAAAAATAAGCACATACGTAGTACAACACACAGATACTTACTCCGTAATTTATTTTTGTCTTGGCTCCCGTAGCATCTTGTTTTTTTATGGTTGCATGACACCAAAAATTTAAAAAAAATACTTCCTTCTTCCCAAAGTAGATGTAGACACTAGTCGGGACGATTCAGGTTTTATATTCTGTTATTTCTCTGTGCTGGTGTTTATTGATATATTACTAATAAATAGATTTATTATAAGGAGTTTATCAGTCAAAAAAAATTTCGTATATATAAAAAGCCAAAACGAAATGGATTAAGATTGTTTTGTTTTGTCATTGTTCGAAATTAGATATAAAAAATACATAAGGGGAAACAACCCACTTTAACTTGTAAAATAATAAAAAAATAAAATATTTACTTAGAACTTCTTAGAACAACCAAAAACAATAAAGCAGTACGAAAAGATGCTACTAAGTTTGTTAAATGTCAAAGCGACAAACCTATAGTTGTTATAAAAACTATAAGACACAAATTAAGGTGGACAGGAGTTAGAACAATCCAATTTTTAAGTTCAGTCTTAGTCTATTTTTTTTAGAATATTTGAATTTGAATATATATATATATATATATATATATATATATATATATATATATATACTATTTTTACTGGAAAAAACTACTCAAGATAATGAGCATATTTGCAGGGATGATAAGGAGTGGGCAATATTCCACAGATCAGGGCTACACATGGATCCAAGGGCATCAAAGTGAACCATACTGGACCGCTGCTGTATGGAACAAATATTCCATACAAAAACATAAGATTATTATGTGGCTCATCTGCAAGGATATATTACAGACAAAGTTGAGACTGAGCAAATTTTTTCCCATTGATACAACTTGTATGTTTTGTGATGAAAAGGAGGACTGTCAACATCTCTTTTGCCAATGCATATATGCTCGAGGGATATATCAGCAGGTATCAGCCGTAGAAGTGGGTATACAATCCAAAGGGAGACATGGAAAGAGATACTGGAGAACCTTAGTAAGATCAAACCCAATAAACGAAGGTGGAAGATGATGGCCTATTTTGCAGCAAGTGTGTACGCAATATGGAGGGCCAGGAATTGGAGAATACACAAGAACATTAATATAACAACTGAAGAAGCGACACAATGGATCACTTATCATACTCACACATTTATGCAAGCTAAAGGAGTTCTATAGAGACTAAGTTTTGTTCGTTTTGTTGTCCATCCCTGATGTTTGTTTCTACGGATTTTGATGTACAGGGTTTTGTGTTTAATACTATTTTGCATTCGGTTCAAATATATATATATATATATATATATATATACACACACACACACACACACACACAACACACACAGACATAAAAAATACTATTTATATATTTCCTTTATCTATAAATAAAGAATTTATGATGTATTACTAAATTTATAAGTAATTTAATTATTTGAGTAGTAGCATTAAATTGAAACAAATGCATATTTAAACAAATAAAAAAATTATAAAAGAAGAGGTGATATATATTATTTATAATTTACACAATTTTTAAAAACATATTTAAATAAGTCAATAGTTTTGTGATATGAAGTTTATATTAGAATCAATTGCTTCAATATTTTAGGCACACACACTTCTTCATCTATAAATAACTAAAGAAAGTAATTTATAACATTTAACTAAAATTACATTAATACACTTGAGTTATTTTACCAAGTTAAAAAATAAAATTTACGTACTTAAAAAATAATATTAAAAATTTTATAGGTGTAGACTTAATTTTATCTTTTTCAAATAAGTTGTATAATATTTAAAAACACTCAAACATGTTATAATACATACAATCAATTATACTCGTATCAATTATATTTTTTAAAATAAAAAGAAATCTGTACACAATCTTTTTTTAATAATGAAATATTTTTAAATATTAAGTGAACTTGTAACAAAAGCATCATAACTTAGATGGTAGGAACTTAGCTATAAATGTCCAAAATATCTTGTGTTCAAACCCCCCACGGTGTATTATTTTTTTTGGGAGGGGGGGGGGAATGCAAAAGTTCGCAAAAAACATTGACTGGACCGGTTCGACCAGCCGGTTCGCATTGGTTCAGACTGGTTCACACCGGTTCAATGCAGGTAACGGTCCAAAGGACCAGATTGGTTGGACCACCAGTTCACGGTTAGAATCAACCGGTCCGGTCCGGTTTTTAAAATTATGCTTTTAAGTTAACCAACAACGCCAAAAAACCTAATCCATATTCTTCCTTCCCCTTCTCTCGCGGTCAAACTTGTACCCTGCCCCGGGCAGCGGTCTTCACGCGCCTTGCCGCCCCAACTGCCCCCAAGTGCACCTATTCATCACACGCCAACAACGCAAATGAAAGAGACACAGCTTCAAGAGCTGAAAAATCTGAAGACAGAATTCTGCACACAAAAAAAATGAGAAGCAAAGAAATTAAAATATGAAAAGAGGTGAGATAAGTATAGATTAAACAGTAAAAACTAACCTCAGATATGGAAGAAGGTCTCCTAGATCCAAAACGAACAAAAAACATTAAGAGTTAACATAATGCTTCATCATCCGATAATCAAACCGGTCCACAACAAGTTTGATAGTGAAGCTCCTTCCATGGCATTCCAATTCAGCAAAAGATACTACAAAAATACGACACCCTATTTTTCATGTGTGTGTACTGTGTAAAATATTATTGTTAGTTTTAGCTTTTTGGGTAAAATATTATTGCTAGTTGCTAATAACACCCAATGAATACTAGAAGTGAAGAAAAGAGAGTAATTTTTGACTAAATCGTAAGGCTGCATTAAACATCCTTTGCTTTTTACTTACGATGAAGTTTGGACAGTAAACGCGCCAAGAGTCTAAGAAACATCCAGAGTTATGGCTGCAATAACTAGGTCATTCCAGATTGCCCTGCATGTTTACAGCTTCAACATTAAAACTGACCGTTTAGACAATTATTCAAAACATTAACTTTAATTGAAAACGTTATTACCAAACAAATGAAGGTCATAAAACAAGGGATCAGCAACAATAATAATAACAATAGAATTATTCATAGTTACAGCTAAATTTCTGCTGTTTTAGTTATAAAAAGAGAGAAAAGACAGATATATACCATGAGACTATGAGAGTATGAGACAATAATGCAATTCTGTAACCAGCAACCTTCCTCAAACCAAGCCAAAACATTTCAATTTAATAAAAAAAAAGGCTAATATTTCATCAAAATTAGAAAATTATACAGAATCCTCCCCCCTCCACAGCAAATCATTTTCAACTGAAATGAACAAAAGATATACTCCCTCTAGATTTAGTTGCCCCTTCCTATTTTTACATTTCCACTTCCTATATTTAATAAAAAAAACACGATGACTTGTAAAGTAGAGAAAAAATAGGGTATGAATATTACATTTTGAAAAAACTTATAGGCTCAGATCTGTGTTTCTAGAGGGAATTGAAGATCCGAAACCGCCATGGCTGCAACCACAGGGTCCATTTCCGGGTTGCCCTGCCAAGATACGGATCGGGTCAACCAAATACCACAAATGTAGTAGCCCGTAAAGGGGGAAACACTGAAAAAGTATATCATCACTGCCTCCTCTTCATCATGGGTCTAAGGATTGGATTGGATTGGATTTTATTTGAGGTACGCTATATTATACGTACATAAGTATTCCGTAATGGTCTTTTTCTGCAGGCAGATTGCTGTATGATTATGGCTTCTATTATTTTTCTTGTGCTCCTTTCTTGCGGTGAAGAAAGAAAGATAGGGCTGTTCGGAAAGGAGCGTATGGGGATGGAGAGGCAACTGCCCTTTCAATAACCAAACAAAATTTAGATTTTGAACTCCTTCCGTTTTCTTTTCCTTTTTTAACATTTCCATTCCTTTTCAATTCCTTGAACCAAACAGTGTAGGGGACGGCGAGAGTATGTTTATTTTTCTTTCTTAGAGAAAAGAAAGATGAAAGGGCTGTTAGGGAATTCAGATGGAAATAGAGAAACCATGGCAGGAGAGAGAGAGGCAACTGCCCTTTCAAAAAACTCCCATCTCTCTCCCTTTCCCTACACTATGTTTGGTTCAAGAATTTTGGAAGGAAAATAAAAGAAAATTGCTTTCTCTCATTTTTCTCCCCAAAATGAGAGGAGTTTTGGTTTCCCTCCTCTTGGTATATTTTGCCTTTTCATTGTTTTTTCTTTCCACTTTTCGTTTCTTTTCCTTTCTAACCAAACAAGAAAAAAAAAATCTATCTCATTTTCTTTTCTTTCCATTTTCAAAATCCGTGAACCAAACACAATGCTAGGGAAACCACAGGCCTACACAAAACCCAAAAAACCTGGCAGACAGGTTCCGGGTTCCTTCCACTTCACTGTTCTTTCTTCCATATATCCATCCAACCTCTCCTTGCACAGGCATTTTCCTATGCTCCATCTCAGCTCTTCCAACCTTAACAAATATTTTCAAACAAAAATCGTGCATTGTTTTTCTCACATAGTTATGCCTGTTTGAAGCAGGCACAAGGAAAATACAGATCTGCCATGGCTGCAATACCAGGATTGCCCTGCCAATATACAGATATGGTCCTCCAAATGCCTCAAAAATTGGTAACCCAGAATCATCACAGCCTCTAAACACATGCCTCAAAAGTGGAAGGAAAAGAAAATAAGAAGACAAAATGTACTAAGAGGAGGGAAAATCAAATTCCTTCCGTTTTGGTGAGGAAACTGCGGGAAAATCATTTTCTTTTCTTTTCCTTCCAAATTCCTTGAACCAAACATAGTGTAAAAGAAATCCCAAGTCGTCTTCAGAGCCTCTCATTTTTCAAAGATTCTTTGAATCATAATTCAAAGAAAGCTCTTTCGATGAGGCTCAGAGTTATGTTTACCCAAGGCAACGAGAAACCCAAGCCGCGCCATGGCTGCAACAATTAGGTCATTCAGAATTGCCCCGCCAAGATAAGGATTGGGTCCTCACCCGCCACCGAATTAGTAGGTTGGTATCATCATGGCCTCATAAGAGCTACAATAATAAGTCATTATTGTCCCAAATTATAAGCATTTTGTTCGAAATAAAATGCCACATTAGTCTCAAACACATAAGGTAGTAGAGCAATTCAACCAATATGTAAATATATACTACCTCTGTTCCATTAAAGCAATATAGAAACCCAAAACCCCAAACCTACCTCTGAGGCTCTTTTCTAATGAGGCTCAGACCAATGAGAATGAAAAGAATAACCCACCATGACTGCAATTACCGGTTAATACCAGATTGCCACGCCAAGATATGGAATGATTCCACAAAAGGCCTAACATGTGACTGGCCAAGTATCATCACAGCCTCCTTCCGGTCACAATAAGAACAATAACGCATTGCCTGAAATTCTTCAACAGGAATTATGTTGTTTTAGGCTCAGATAAAAAAGGCCTTTCTGGTAACAAGCTCGAAGTTGTTAGGTATTTCTATTGCTCCCTCCGTCCCAGAATAAAAGTTTGAATCACTACCATCAAAATATATCTTCCTTCTTTACATATTTTCATCAATGATTTGATAAAAAATATAATCATGTCACATCTTGTTTTGCAAAACTTTTGGAATGGATACTACATAGAAACCCCAAACCTACCTTTGGGGCTCTTAAGAGGCTCAGAACTATGACACTTAGAAGAACAACCCGCCATGACTGCAATTACCATCAATATCAATTGCCACGCCAAGGTACAGATTGGTTCAACAAAATGCCCTAAAAAAATAACCAAACATCATCATGGCCTTTTTTGTTGTTTTCTTTACCCTTTCTTTTCCTTCCAAATTTCTTTTCTTTTCCTTTCTGACCAAACAGCCTCTCTACTTTCGAGTTTGGCAAGGTCTGCATACATACACCCTCATGAGACCCTACTTTTGTGAGATCCAACTGGGTTGTTGTTGTTGTTGTTGTTGTTCCTTTCTAACCAAACATCAAATCAGAAAAGAGAGAGAGAGAGAGAGATCATGCGCAGACGAGAGGGAGGTAACTGCCCTTTAAGAAACTCCCATCCCTTCCTTGCCTCAGTCCTTTCTAGGCTACAAATCCTAATCATGCATCTTTTGAGGGAAAGATTTAAAAGAATGGGCAGAAAACGGTTTGTATATATGAGATGAATTGAAGAATAGGTCCAGAACAACGCTGGTAAATGTTTTATTTTAAAAAACGACCTGGTCTGATCTGATTATAATAAGAATAAGTAATAAGCAGAAAAAAATAAGTTGGACAGAACGCTGCCTTAGAAGAAAAGAGCATATGCCTCATGCTTTGTAAGGAACGGATATTCCAGAATCGGGCTCAGATCTGTGTTTCCAGAGGGAAGTGGTGAGCCGAAACCGCCATGGCTGCAACAACAGAGTCCATTTCCTGTTTGCTGCCCCGCCAAGATACGGATCGGGTCAAACAAATACCTCAATTTTAGGACAGAAAAAGGAATATATCATCACAACCTCTTCATAGGTCACACCAGCAGCATTAATAATAATGATAATAATAATCATCATCATCATTATAATAATAATAATAATAATAATAATAATAATAATAATAATAATAATAATAACTTTGTGTTTCTTTAGTTTGTTGTGATTTGGAAACATCTCTACTTTTGAGTACTGGTATTGGGTAAGGTCTGCATACACACACCCTCCAGGACCCTACTCTTGTGGCATTCTAGCGATGAAGAAAGATAAAAAGGGCTGTTTGGAAAGAGATTTACAGAGAAATCGTCTACAGAGGGAAGTGGTGAGCCAAAACCGCCATGGCTGCAACAACCTAGTCCATTTCAGGTTGGCCCCACCAAGATAAAAGGAAACATGGAAAAGTATATCATCACAGCCTCTTCATAGCTAAAAACAGCAGCAGCAACAACAACAATAGCACCGAGTAATATAGCTATTAGAAACTATTGAAGGTGCTTTGGTCAATTTTGTACACTATAATCTCAGTTGCAGAAGTACAAAGAGAATGATGGTTTTGTTTTTTCTTTTTCCTTTCTTTTTCTAGTTTCTTTCTTGAGATCAAGAGAGATATAAAGGGCTGTTTGGAAAGAGACGTACAGAGATATCATGTGCAGATGAGAGGGAGGCAGCTGCCTCTTCATAAAAAAGCCACAACAGCAACAACAATATTGAGAGAATATTTTATACCTCTCAAACAAATTTAGGAAAAGATAATACGGAGTATAACGAAAAACATTGGAGATGAAAGTAGGAATGTTCTTAGGTAGTGTTTGGCAATTAGCATTTCATTTCAATTCATGCATTTCAATTCCAAAATTTGAAATACTGAATTTCAAATGACAAGGAGAGGTGCATGAATTTCAAATTAAGCTTGGATTTGAATGTAAAGAATTTGATTCAAATCTAAATTCAAAATGCTTAAGTTTCCCAAACATGGAATTTAAACCAAATCCGGATTTGAAATCCAAATCCATGTTCCCAAACATACCATTAAACAATTCACCCTTCTTCTATATCCAATCCAGGTCATTTGCAGTTCTCACTCCAGCAGCAACGACTTTAAATTACACTACAATCAAATCAGATTAGACTAGACCATAAAAATTAAGATAATCAGATCAGGCGAACAGAACACAGTCTAAAGATCCAAGGTTAGGGATCAAAAGTAAGTCTACTTGTAATCATTCCTCGAGGGTTGTTGAGCCTCTCGTTAATCATTTTTTGGGATAATCATTGGCTCAACAGAACACGAAAGAGGGGGAACAACCACCCTTGAAACTAATTCACCCCCCTTAAACTTCACATAAAGCCTCATAATCCAAAACATCAAACCAATACCATTGTAGAACTTCGCAAGAAACGAGAAGCTTAAAAAAATGAAGGAATGAATGAAAGATTGGATTTCTGTAAATAAAAAACAGTTTTGATTCATGCATTTACTTGTTTAAGAAGAAATCTAATATTTCATCAAAATTAGGATAATTAACCCAATCCACTTCCACTGTAAAACATTTTCAACTGAAATCAACTAAAAAGACACAGAAGTTTGAAATTTAAATAGGGCTCAGATCCGTGTTTCCAGAGGGAAGTGGTGAGCCAAAACCGCCATGGCTGCAAGAACCGGGTCTGTTTCCGAATCGCCCCGCCAAGATACGGATCGGGTCAAACAAATCCCTAAATTTCAGTAGCCCAGAGAAAAGGAAACACGGAAAAGGATATCATCACAGCCTCTTCAGCATAGGTCACAAGAGAAAGCTAGCTAGGATCACAACAGCAACAACAACAATGATAATAATAATAATACGGAGTAATAATAATGTTTTGTTTTCTTCTTTTTCTTTTTGAGTTTCTTTCTTGCGAAGAAGAAAGATCAAAAGGGCTGTTTTGGAAAAGGGGCGTACATAGAAATCATGGGCAGATAGAGAAGGAAGCAACTGCCCTTTCAAGAAACTCCCATCCCTCTCTTCCTGCCTCGATCCTTTCTCTGGGCTACAAACCTAACCACACAGGCTGAGTATCTTTTTCATGTTTATATACTGGTGGTGATTTATATTCTCACCCTTTATCCACAACATTGGTTAGTATGAAGGGGAAGTCATGATAATACTAGTAATTGTTAGACTAGTATTATTAGGCTATCTTGCGTCTATAATCACAAGTTTGAGCTTTTGGTTAAATCGATTTTTAATACTAAGTACCACAAAAAATTTGCCTACAATTTGTGATAAAATAGCATAAAACTTCTATTTATACATAATGTTATATTTGTACATATGTATTTATCCTTTGGTACAAAGATTTATCAATCAAAATTATCATTTTTCACATTCTAATGTGAACAAAATTATGTAGCGCGCAACACACATGTAATGCAAAAACGTGTTTATGCAATATGTGTGGTTATTTTGACAAATCGATAAAGATTAATAATTTTAAATTGCAAAAAAGAAAATAATGCCTCAGGTAACACCATTAATGTTGTATATAATTTAATATTATAATATTCTTACTGTGCATTGCGCGGGTTAAAATATAATTATAAACTAGTACAAAAGTGAATCATAAGATTGAATTTATAATGCAACAATTTTCAAAAAAACATCGGACCATATTTTTTTAATGCTTGATAAAAGTGATTAAATGTACACCAATAAGAATGTGAAAAGTCTAACTAAATAAATACGTAGTACAATGAAAGAGAGATATTGTTCACATTACTATCTCTAAGATATACACATGATATAGGAGTTGGAAGTGTAAATTTTATTCCCTAAATAAGAATAAATTATCACAATATATCGAAGTATGTGTACATTATTTTTATTTTTTAAATAGAAGTTTGCAATATAAATGCTGGCAATGTGATGATAATATAGCAGTGTAAATAGTGAATGTGTGATGGCTGACAGTGGTGGCCGTGTGATGGGGAAACACCGGCCAAAGGTGGTCAACGCTAGGGACCCACGTCAACAAAGCTCCGACAACGGCCGTTCGATGGCAATGTGACAGTGTGCAGTGTGGGTGTCGCAATGTGAAGTCATATTTAGGTAATAAAAATAATTTTACTTATATTTTGATATTTTCATCATCTTTTTCTCATATTTAGATATTTCTCCCCATTTTTATTTCAAGGACACAAGTTCTTTTTTTTTACACAAAATAAAGTTTCATTTATTAGACTCTCCCGCTTAATGTAATAATCCCTGTTGGTATCTATTAGACTATTACCACATACTTCCTCCGTCCCAGAGTATTTGTCCACTTTCATTTTTACACACCATCCAATACACTTCTTTAATCTATTCTATCTTGTAATTTGTATATTAAAAAATTATAAAAATTATATATTAATAATCTATATGTTAAGACAAATCAAACAAGATCACACATGACTATATTTAGGCTTACACATTGAGAGAATTTGATGAGTCAAAGTTCTTAGATGAACAGTTCCAAAAGTCAAAAGTGGACGAATATAGCGGGACGGAGGGAGTATAAATAAATACTCTCTAATAATTTAGGAGAACCATGTTGTAAAACTATACTTTACATAGATTTACTAAATTAAGTAAGTTTTAATTAAAAAAGGTAACATTATAATTTAATATCACCCAACGTATTGTATTGAATTATTAATGCAAATTTTACAATTTTTTTTACAACCGTAGATAAGAAAAATTATGGGCAAATCTAGGAGTACACCAACATGGGGTAATCCATTTGTACAAGCTAAGACAGACAGACACAGACACAAAATGTCTGTGCAGCACAGATATTTTGTATCTGTATGTGTTTGTGTTAGCGTGGTGTATAAATGGGGTACCCCATATTGGTGTATTCTTAGTTTAATTAAAAAAATAAAATTTGCACTGAATAAGACTAAAACATGAGTCATTTCCCAATATAGAACTTAAATTTTTTCATTCCCTAAATAGGACTTAATAATGACTAGTGAAAAGAATAATGTTCAAATGATACTGGAAATTTAGTTGAATAATGATTAATAGATAATGACCAATGGTCCTACATTGGGAAATAAAAACATATAGTCCTATATTGAGAAATTCATTATGTTTTAGTCCTATTTAGGTAATTACCTGTTAAAAAATTTTATGGCCAAGTAATAAATAACCTGTAAAATTTGGCATCTCTTCGCAGCACTTTATGAGTAAAAAAGGGGGAAAATCCCAAAGGGGTGACCTGAGAACACAAGTATATTTTGGCCCTATACTCATATATCCGCCCTAAAATTAATTTGATTTTCATAAAAAAGATTATAAAAAAAAGTGTTCAATAAAAATGAGTTGTCAAATTTTTTATAAAACAGAAAAAATATCTTAATTTAATTTGAACCCTTTTTTTCAAAAAAAAAAGACAAATTTAAAAAATATTTTATTACTTCTCTAGCCCTAAAGACATTTCATGTTTTGATTTTTTGGCCAAACAGTAACATTCTTTGACCGTAAATTAAATATAATCTAATTAAACTAAATATACTTTTATCATAATTTGCGGTCAAAAAGTATCACTGTTTGACTAAAAATATCAAAACAGAAAAGATTTTTAGGACGGGAATTCTAGAAGTATATGGAGTAGAACAAAATTGTCATGTGTTCTCAGATTACCTCTGTGGGGTGAACCGCTTGTTACACTATTGTAGAACCGAAGTATCGGAGCATAATGTAAAGGTAGATATATATATACATAAAGGTTTTTTTTTAAGTCCAAGAAAAATGCTATGGCGTGATAATGTCGTCATACGTGCACTAGAAATATGTCGTCATAATTTGACATTATTGCATGATTATATTTTCTTTAAATATATACATACATATACATATACATATACATATACATATACATATACATATACATATACATATACATACATACATACATACATACATTCATACATACATACATACATACATACATATATATATATATATATATATATATATATAAAATATTTTCTAGATATCAAATACTATATAATATATATATATATATATATATATATATATATATATATATATATATATTATTATGTTATTTTAAAAAATAAATAAAGAAAGAAAGACAGACAAGTTTAACTGATAAAAATATTAGGATAGCTGATTTATTTGGTACGAGTAGAGAAATAATTGTTTGCAGGGGTGGATCCACCTCTATTGAGTATGGAGCAAATGCCCCAACTAATTTTTTGTATTAACACTAAAAAAAATTTTATTAAAAATTTTATGTATTCATTCAAAAGAAAAGAAAAGGATTATTTTTCTATTTTTACTCACCAAAATCCCAAATCATAAGGAATATTTTATTTTCCTCCACTCTACGTCAGTCGTAATCACTGTGAACATCACCCCTTTACATGTGTGGGCGCCTTGAGTGAGTTGCGCTGTAGCCATGGCCACGATCACATACTTCTTTGATTACTATTTAATAATGGTATATTTAAAAAAAAACTTTTCTTTTTTTTCAAATGTAACTCCTAAATTTGAAATTTTGAATATCCTCTCCACAATTCTTTCCTTATTTTAACTTCATATTTAAAATTTTTATTTTGTCTATCTGATTTCTCTTATTTTTAATTTTTTAGGTACTCCGTTCATAAATTGACGGTTCCTATCTCTCATAACTCTCGGTAAACTCTCTCACCCTGCACCACCCCGAACCCACCACCCACTCCCTTCTATTGCATCCCCCAAATTTTATTGACTTTAGATTTAAAATTTTAACTCCAAAGTGAATTACACTTGGGGCGGTGGATTCAACACGGGGAGAGGTGAGGGGGTTTAGGAGGGATAAGAAGCTTTAACTTTATGAACGGAGTGGGGTGGGGGGGTTTAAGACCCTCATATTATCGCACGACAATGCACCGCCCCGAAGAAAAAAATATATATTCCATCTGTACCAAATTAAATTTTTTAGGAGTGTTCCAAATTCATCTTTTTTTGGAAAGTTATTTGTGGCTAAACATTTTTTATTTTCTCTGCATTACTTTCAATCACACAATTATACTTTTGTTAAATCAAAGGAGTATTAATTTATATATAGAAGGTGTCGGCTATACAAACCAAGAATGAGCGTCCAAAACTGTTTTTGGGTTCCACTGTAATTGAAAAAAGAAAAAATTTACTCTCAAATTCGCAGAGAAGTCCAACAAGCTCCATTCTCACCTGCTACACTGATCTTAGCGAGCTAGCTCACACTCTCACATCAGCAATTGAACACGTAAATGCTTGTATCTTCATTTATCTCTCAATTTTATTCGTTTTTTTCGCAAGTTATTCAAAGACCAGACTTGTTTGTCCTTCATTTCTTCTTCCCTGGGAATAATACCCTTCGAAGGTGTTCAGTTTCTACACAACGTTGATGAATCTATGTTTTGCATGTTTTGGACGGCACTGTCGGTCATTTTTGAGAAATCATTTTTGAAGTTATGAATGATTCATTCTAAAAATTTGATCTTGGGGCGACCCAATTAATTCCAGGTTGCTGTCATAGTGTTTTGACTATCCAGATCAGAAAATTATTGAAAGAATAACGAATTGATAAGACTTTAAGTTGAACTGGACAATTGATTGATTTCAATCTTATAATATGGTTAGTTGACTTAGATAATTGATAATCTGTGCTTTTGTTTTTACTTTACTCTGTCTATGTTTTTTGTGCCGGAGGGTTCAGGGTACACACAACCTCCCCAGACTCTATTTCTGGGGATCCTGAAGGGTTTGATGTTGTTTGTTGTAGTCAGATTAGTTGGACCGACTTCTATCAATCCCAAATGCTATGACCCTTTATTCATCTGGTTTTGTTGTGATAGATTTGATTGCAGGATGGATGAACCTGCCTGAATTCCAGGAAGAAAAAGGATTCTGAGTAGTGATTGGTGGTGTTTATTTGGTGTAAAGATTTGAAGCAGAGTGTGAAAAGGAGATTATTCAAGAAATGGTTCGAGGGACATATATGAGCATTTTGGCAACGTCTAGATATTGTGGTAGTGTTAGCGGACCTACATGTGTTTCAAGAAGGTATCTTGGACATTTTGGTGAAGGCTCAGTAGTGTTTGGCATGGTAGGTCAATGTTGTTGGAATCAATATAGAAAACGGATATCTTTTGTTCAACAACACACTGATATTGCACGAGGACGGGATTTGAGAGTTAAGGCTGGACGGCTCTTCAAAGGGGACGAACACGAGGAGTCTGCCGGTATTGAGCGGAGCGAGAGTGCCAATGAGGACATATTGATGCTCATTTTCCAACTGGATATGACAATGCAAGTTCAGGTCTTAATTAACTGACCATATGTCCCTTAAATACTCCCTTCGTCTAAAAACAAATTTACAGTTTGATTTCACTGAGTTTAACACAAATCTTGAAAAATGAAAAATTTGTGGTCAAAATATGCTTAGAAGAGAGAAATGTTATGGGTCACATATTCTTTCCTTGATAGGAAACTGAGGAAGTGTATACTTTATTGTGAGACATTCCAAAATAACTGTAAACTTCATTGCGGGACGAATGGTGTAATTTAAGGCAAGCTTTGTACCATGGTCCATGGAACATGTAGAAAAAGTGAAAGACAAAGTAATGAGCTCCAATGTGCAATTTTACTGCAGTGTGCTCTCAATTTGGAGCAATACGACATCGCAAAAAAACTAAGGGACAAGCTCACCAAGGTTAGTATGAAGAATTAGATTTGTACATGAATAAAAATTTCTTATCATAGCCATAAAATAAACTTCTTACCTGGCTGTTTTAGCGTTACAAAGTTATGCTATTGTTTCATTTTTATACGGATTGATGGAACCTGGGTATCTCATGTGCAGTTTAATTATTTGATGCTTGCAGGTTGAATCAGAAGTTATGAAGGACAAAAAATTTAGACGGGGATCAGCCTCAAAGAATGACGTTCAAGATATGGCTTTTAGAATCTTGCGCTTGCGGTACCAAACTGTGACTTTGAATTTTCATATTCATATTACCATCCATTGCCAACAACAACAAACCCAGTAAATTCCCACAAAAGTAGGGTCGGGGTCGGGGGTGTGCACACAGACCTTTCCAAGCAAGGCTGTTTCCCATCCATTGCCAATTGAGCTAAATGAGTCTTTATTGACAATGTTTTAGTTTTAAGCACATTATGGACTTAATCAAAATGACACATTAATCTTCCATCTTCCCTTGCTTCTTACTTTCTATGAAGTTTTGGGAATTAACTGAAGCAATGCATCTAGGGTCGAACATACACATCCTCTCTGTTTTTTAGGGGTAGGATTGCATACATCTTGCCTCCCCCCCACCACCACGTACACCACAGAGTTGGGATTATATTTGGTTGTTTTTGTTACCGAATAGTAACAATCGAAAAAGATTTAACTTTAAGCTCATATGGTCTTTAATGTACCACCCATCTTGTGTTTCTAAACACCATTGCTTAATTTGTCCTTCATTCAGTGCAGACCTGCTGTATGCGGTTCAAAGTGAAAGCTACAGTGTGGCTGCCAATATTCGAGATCAAATTTCCAAAATTGAGTCTGAATCAGTGGCTGCATCAGTGAGAGCCCAAGCTTACGAAGGTGCTCAATATGCATTCCGTTTGGGTCAGAGAGTGAAGCACAAGGTGTTTGGTATGAAATTCGCTGAACCTCTTTAATCTCGCTTCTGCGTGTAAAAATAAATAGAACTTTATCTGGAAACCTTCTTAAGACAAGTTTTTTTAAAGTTTTTTTTTTCAACTTCAGAATATACCAATGTTGTATTACGTGTTTGCTAATCAGTACAACCAAGCCCCCATTTCGTGCATTTAAGTGATGCAAGTGTAGCTAACACTTTGTGTAGGAGCTTTCCTCTATTAAGGCTAGAAATGCAAAAGACAAGATTTATTATAAACAACAAACTTTTGCACATGAGTTTAATATTTCTCTCAAATGTTAATATGAAATAAGAAGAGGAAAACAACTTTCATTTTCCATTTCTTATTTTTTCTTCTTTCCCAAACAACAGAAAAGCGTAACTCCCTCTTATTTTCCTTCCATTTTTTCTCTTGCCAAACATGGGGTATAACCATGTTATTGTGTTTGCCAATACTTGTTTGCCCGTTTAGCTACTTCTTAGTAGATGTCGAGCTGCATTTCACTACTTTGCATGTAGTTTTCTAATTCTAGCACTGAAAATGAATGTATAATTATGTATTCAAGAATATCACGGTGTTATATGCGGGATGGATCCGGTGTGCTGTGAATCAACTTCATGGATGGAGAATGCCAAGGTTGAAATGTTGTCCCGCGGTCCTGACCAGCCTTTTTATCAGGTAAAATTCTTGAACTCTGTTTATGTATTAAGAAAGACAGGTAGCATAATGTAGTGCATCTATGGATGTGTGTTGAGCAAGACACATTATTTTTTATCTAGTTCGAAAACCATAATATGCATCAAGATAAATAACCGGTACTCTTTTTTCATTGAGATATTATTTACTATAAGAGTATTAAACTTTTTTCAGTGCTTACTACCACAAGTTTGAGCTCTTATTTGAGTTGATTTCTTGGCATGGTATTAAAGCCTTGTTGGCTTAGAGGTCACGAGTTTGAAATTCATTGCCATCTAGTTTTTAAAAAAGTAATGCTCATGTGCATGACTCGAGCAAAAACAAATCCCGCCTTCTCCTGCAAAGGCGCGTGTTAGAGTATAAAACCTTTCGTAGGCCTACAATCAGGCTTTTGGTTGAGTTCGTTCTTTAACATGTTAAGAAACCAACTCAACTAAAAGCTAAACCTTGCGGTTGAAAAGACGCCAGAAAATATATTACATACGCTAACACGCCCCCTCCCCCCACGTGTAAATTTTCTATAGGTGGGACAATGGTGAAGTCGTGAATGGGTATGAGAGCGTTTTTGACCTAGAGATCACAAGTCACAAGATCGAATCTCACTGAAAAAAATCAACGTTTCCCTAATATGCTCAAGCAGAAATAAGTTTTGTGTGCATGCGAGGAGGCATGTTAGAGTATAAAACATCTCTTGTGACTAATATCACAAGCTTGGACTTTTGGTTGAGTTGGTTTCTTGACACTTCGTTTGATTTAATGTATAAAAAAACTCATTTGAACTATATTTGTAGACAATGATTTTAGCGACAATTGCAGCAAATTGAGTCATGTAATCCAAATTTGCTTCCAATCCTCAGCAAATGGGTACTTAGTCATTTAATTCAAATTCACTATCCAGTAGGCACTTTTCAAGAGCCACTTAACTGTACTGTTAATAGTTAAAACTCTTTATATCAATATCAGATATTCTCGAAAATAGAAGTACCAAATATTTTTATCCGCTTATTGAGGCTCCAGTGAGAAGATGTGAAAGGCTTGCAGTAGTGGGTGTTGGTGTGAGTAGGCAGTGGTGGACCCAGGCTGTCCGGGGAGTGGGTTCATTTTTCGTACTTGATGGAAACATGATTTCTATAAAGTTGGTACTTCTTACTCCATAGTTTAATAAAAATAACAATTACACAAGAGAAAAAATTACTCCGGAATAAATAACAACTCGGTAAGGTATTATATAGGTAGACCTAGGAAGAGTTGAAGGAGGTGATTATAAAATACTTACAACTTTATGAACTTACCGAGTATGTGACCTTAGGAATGCCTAGAGAGCTATGATTAAAGTATTATTTTTGCCGAATATTATGCTTGACTCTACTACTTGCAGGTGCTAGTCGATCTCTCTGCAGACACAAATCTGTTAGTTACATATGGTAACATTTTTCCTTCTACCTTCCACTCTAACTTATTACCATATCTCAGCTTGTAAAGAGAAGGTTAAACATTAAATATGAGTCATGTGACTTGTTTTTTTACCATGCAGTGCCTGAGGAGAATTTGGATGCCGTGAGCGAACCAGAAAGGGTAAGTAATACTACATTCTTGCTGATTGAAAAAACAATCTTGTTTTTAAATTGTGCCAAAAACACTAGGGATTTTTGATTGCATTAACTCAAGTCCTGTTTGGGAACAACATTTCCAATCAGCGTTGGCGTTTTTGAACAACTTTTTAATGGTTCAAATTAACTATAGAAATGCTAAAGCTAAACGTCACCGTTAAATAGCCTTTTCCAAACACTGAAGCTGTTGCCAAACAGGCATTCAGTCTTTGAGTATTCAGACAATAGTTTTTTCATGGACAAGAACAAACCGACCTTTGGAGGTACTTGAGTTGAACATGCCACCACCGAGTTGATTAAGCTATAAATCCGCGCAAAGGTAGTTTTTAATGGTTATAAATCAGTGCAAACGTAGTTGATTAAGCTATAAATCAGCGCAATAGTTTTTTCATGGACAATACATTATCCACATGAATTGCAGCACTAACTAACTAATTAACTATGTATGAGTTGACTTCCTTAAATGGGCAGTTTTGTTGAAAAAGAGTTAATGACTCTCATTTAATTTTTTTTCAAGAAAACAGTTTTGTATATAAATGACTAAATTCTAATCAGTCACGCTTAAATCATTACAAGTGTGCGCGATGAACCCCAATCCTCCTAAAAGTTGGTCTGTTCTTGTCCAAAAAACGTTTGGTATATTATCGTCGAGAGCCTCCAAATTTGGTTTGTTGCCTCCCAAATTCCAAAACTATACTCTCTTTGCTCCATAAAAAAACTTCTTAGTTTGATATTCACAGGGTTCAAGACATGTGTTCAAAGAGTGAAAAATGTGTGGCTGAATGAGTGTAAAGTTTTTGTTTTCTTTTCCTTAGAGGTCTAAAAAAGGGAAAGTATTAGAAATAGAAATCTAGAGTAGGGTATCTTTTTTTTGCAGAAGAGTAACTCACAACCCCTAAATGTGCACAGAATGTGTTCTATCACCCCTACATTTCCTTGTTATTTTATGGGATGGACGCTGCGGGAGATTTCATCCCTATCAAAGAGCTGCGAGAGAAGTACAAGAGGCCACGACACGAGCTGCCCAATGACGAAGAAGATGAGAAACCCAGAGAAGATGCTTAAACGGCTATCATTTCGGTTATCTTTAGTCTGCTGTAGTTACAAACTTACAACCTCTCTTCTGAACACTTGTGCAAGTAAGTGTTGTTTTTGGACTTCTCACCATATATCAGTTACTTGCCCTGTATTGATGGCTTTCTAGTTGAAATGTTGTTTCAATATGATTGTGGTTTCTTGGGAGTTATGTGTATTTATATTGAGATGAAGCTAATGAGACTCTTTGTACAACTATCACACATATAGATGTGAATAATTTTTAAGCACCATGGCTCTTTTGACCGTAGTGCTTCGGAACTGGTATTTCATTTTAATTTTAAAATTTGAATTCTTGAATTCCAAATGACAAAGAGAAATATATGAATTTGTAATAGAGCTTTGTTTTGAATTAGAGAAATTTGTTTTAAATCCAAATCCAATTTTTAAGATTTTTCAAATATGAAATTTGAGCCATATCTGGATTTGAAATTTAAATTTCAGTTTCCAAACATGCCACTTTAATTTGACCTTAAAAAACCCAACCCCATATGCTCCACCCTAGCCTCCCTAGATTGCCGATTTGGATTGCCCAATCGGCATCTGTGGGAGGGGGAGGGGGTAGGAGTAAGAACCATCAATTTTATCAACAAAATATTGTGGTTGTCTCAAAATATTCGGGTCATTATCAGGTCATTTCTGGTTTGCGTCAAAAGAATCTTGCCCATTTTTAAGCAAATGCAATGAATATGCAGGGATGAAGCTTGATAATCAAACCAAAGATTTCATTCAAATTAACTCTTCCCGTTCCAAAAAAATGCGTCTAGTTTGAATACAAACATTTTTTAAATAAATAAAAAATGTATGGTTAACATACAATTGATGTCTCGGCCCCAAATAGAACTTTGTGATTTATACGTAAAAAGAGAAGCAAAATTCCCCTTCAAGACATACACTCTATTCTTTTGAGTTAGAAAAATTAACTTCTAACTTTGTCCATCTCATGACAGTTTTTTCAACTCCTTCCAGTTCCTTCCAACAATGACTTTAAAAATATATTTATATATGATGAATATATAATATCATTATATATCCTGATTTATAACATATCACCTCAAATACGAACAAAAGATGTACTACTTTAGTCTTTTTTTTCTTTGTTTATACTTTTTTAAACCTAATGATGCACAATGAGTCAATGTTTCTGTCATTCAAACTTGAACGAACTTTCCAATTAATCATGGCGAGTGAACTTCCTACCACTCAAACCATTTGAAAAATTTAACTGGTAGTCCATATTAATTCTCTCTCCTATACATGAATTTCAACCGAAATTTCTATTTTTTATAAATCTGTAAAAAACAAACAAGAAATCTAATTTGAGACATAAAATATTTTTTTTATCAAATGAATAATTAAAATTCACAAAAAAGGTAAAGTACTGAGTGTAAAAAAGGGTTAGATTCTCAAAAAAAATGATTAGTACCTAATTTACTTCCTCTTAATTCATCATCTAGTCATTTTTTTGTTAAAGAGCAATGTTAGAGTTACAAACAAACAGTTTACAAAATTCATAAACTTGTCTTTTTAACATTTTACTTGAAAAAATGATGTATTCAAATAATAAAAAGATATTTTAATTTAAAATACTCAAAAAAAAATTTGTAAAATTTGTGACTCTATCTCATATGGTTTACCTTGTAAAATAGATTATAGAATACTCATATCTCATATGGTTTACCTTGTCTTTGTGAGTCGTATGGGTTACCAGCAGCTATGGTTGGACCTGCACGTCTGGAACAGCAAGAATGAGTACACTCTACATGCCATTATTCAGAGCCTGCACGACCTCAAGATCTCTTACTCAACTCCATGGCCGCCTCATCGTCACAGGTCTCCACAAAGCACCCCAACCTTCCACCAAGCTCATAGAGTCCTATGCTAAAATGGGCTCCCTCGAAACCTCAAGAATCGTCTTTGATTCCTTCCCAGAGCCCGATTCCTTCATGTGGGGCGTCCTGATCAAGAACCACGTATGGAATTGCTGCTTCCACGAAGCCATTTCTCTCTACGACGCCATGCTTTCTCAGATTCCCCAAATGAGCGATTACATATTCCCTTCTGTTTTGAGGGCCTGCTCTGCAATTGGTGACCTGGGCATCGGACAAAAACTCCATGGGAGGATTATTATTACTGGGTTTGCGTCCGATCCAATTGTTGAGACTTCGTTGCTGAATATGTATGCCGAGCTTGGGTGTACACTCTATGCGCAGAAACTGTTCGATGGAATGTCTGTGAGAGATGTAGTTTCGTGGAGCTCGATCGTTTCTTGCTATGTACGTAACTGTCAGCCATGTGAAGGTTTGGAGGTTTTGAGAGGAATGGTAAAGGAAGGAGTCGGGATTGATTCGGTTACATTGCTTAGTGCAGCAGATGCATGTGGGGAGTTGAGTCTATGTGGATTAGCAAAATCCGTGCATGCTTATATGTTGAGAAAGAGCATTCAGAGTGATGGGGCATTGGGCAATTCCCTTATTGCAATGTACGGGAAATGTGGCGATATGGGTAGTGCCGAGGCCATTTTCCGGCATGCTGTCAATAGGAGCACTTGTACATGGACCGCAATGATTTCTGGGTTCAATCAAAATGGATGTTATCGTGAGGCGTTGGGAGTGTTTGTTGAGATGCAGCAGTCCACTGTGGAACCCAATGAAGTCACTTTGATGAGTGTTTTGTGTGCTTGTGCTAGGTCAGGCTGGCTAAGGGAAGGGAAAGCCGTTCACGGTTTTCTTATAAGAAATGATCTTAAAGAGTGTGATTCTAGTAGTGATATCCTGAGGTCCGCGTTAGTAGATCTCTATGCCAGTTGCAGAAGGCTAAGATATTGCCACAGGGTGTTTGACACATCTCAAGACAGGAATGTCATTTCGTGGAATATGCTTATATCCGGTTACACGCGCGAAGGGATGTGTAGAGAGGCATTGGTTCTCTTCATGGAGATGACAACCAAGGGAATACTTCCAGACTCTTTCACTCTTGGAAGTGTCATTGCAGCTTGTGGAGATGTTGGATTCTCCCAAACCGGAAGACAGGTACATTGCCATGTTATCAAGGCAGGATATTCTGAAAACGAATTTGTTCAGAACTCACTAATTGACATGTACTCTAAATCTGGACATTTGGATTCTGCTTGTGCAACATTTGAGGAGATCCAAGACAAAGGAGTTGTAGCTTGGACTTCAATGATGTGCGGGTTTTCTCAAAACGGAAAATCAGACGAGGCTATCACTTTGTTTGACGAGATGTTTTCGCATTCACTTGAGATGAGTGAAGTGACTTACTTGAGCGCGATTCAAGCGTGCTCTAACATAGGATTTCTAGAAAAGGGGAAATGGATTCACCATAAGCTCATAGTCTTTGGCGTAACAAGAGATGATGTGTACATTAACACGGCTTTGACAGACATGTATGCCAAATGTGGAGACCTTCGAATGGCTCAACGAGTTTTTGAGAGAATGGAAGAAAAGAGCGTCATCTCCTGGAGTGCCATGATCAGTGGTTATGGCATGCATGGTCATATCGATGCTGCAACATCACTGTTCACTGAAATGGTAGATTCGGGTATAAGCCCTAACGACGTTATATTCATGAACATCCTCTCTGCCTGTAGTCATGCTGGCTATGTGAACGAAGGGAAGTCTTATTTCAAGGCGATGTTTGGTTTTGGCCTCCAGCCCAAAACAGAGCACTTTGCATGCCTGGTTGATCTTCTTAGTCGCGCAGGCGATTTAGAAGGAGCATATGAGATCATCAGCTCAATGCCATTCCACGTCGATGCTAGCATTTGGGGCTCACTCATCAATGGGTGTAGGATCCACCAGAGAACCGATATCATCAGAACCATTCAAGAAAACCTTGTAAATGTACACACTGGCGATGCCGGGTACTATACCTTGTTAGCCAATGTACATGCTGAAAGAGGGGAATGGAGGGAATCTAGGGCTGTAAGGTCGAAAATGCACAGTGTGGGTCTTAGAAAGGTCCATGGGTATAGCATGATTGAGATGGGATAAGAGAGTTGTTCAGTGTCTACTGGATGATCATTAGGACAATCAGCTATGTTACACAACTGCTAAAGCTGGTATCGCTTCGCTGCAATGGACAAAGTCAAACATAAACACAAGCTTGTGGTTGAAGGCTCAAGAACGACTTTATACTCCAACACACACGAATGTAAGAGTTTAGGTGCATGGTTTCGTCGCGGACTCCACTTCGTTCCCTTGGCTCATTCATTGAATCCAAAGTAAATTCCGATTAGAAAACTAATAAAATATTTTTGGTAAACATATTACTCCACCCGTTTAGATTCATCTTCCACTTTCTTTTTTTTCAGGGTTGGCCGAAAATAATTTTTGATTATGTAAGGAAATGCTTCAGCAGAGGAAGATTAGTTTGGGACGGCTGAGCTAGAGGGAGCTGCGCCATGGTCGCAAGAAGAATACGCAGAGTGTGCTAATACATGGGTGGCCACATTGGCAGAGCGAAAGGTAAACCGAGTACTAAGGTCTTAATTACGAAGACACTAGAAACACTTACAATCATCAATAATGGAATTAAAGACCAGACACAGTTATTTAGGTGTCATTTTAGCATTCTTTATAACAACAACAACAAAGTAGGATGTGTATACGCAGACCTTTACTCCTGCTCGGGAGTAGAGACATTATTTTCAATGGATTGACGACCCCGAAAACACAAACACACAGAGAAAAAGTGAAACACAATATAACACGGACAAAGTAAGAGCACAAACACAAGAAGCAAGCACACACACTGACACCAGCAATTAGACTCAAAGCACACATGCACGAGCTACTCCGCGCACAACTTTTTTTTTCTTCCAGTTTTGCCCCCCGCCCGCCCGCCTCACGCTGTCGCACCATAGTCAATGAACAACGCCACCGTAATTTCCATCAGCGGAATCAACTTCTCCTCAATATTCTTGACCCATGCCTGCGCGGTGGCAATGGCATTAGTTATATTGTTTAAGTTCTCCTTACAGACGCGTAGTTCCGTATCCGTGTTATCCACGGGCCTTGCGACATTGATAACCTCGTTGTGAAACGCGTCTGAACCGTTCTTATTGATCAGGTTTTCCACCTTGCCCACAGACAGGGACATGTTCTGCACGGAAGAGTTGAGGTTTCGGATGCAGCCGTCGATCGCCGCCGTCGGGTCCCACCTGCTGATATCGTTGGAGTGGGAACGGGAGTAAGAAGAGATGTCATTGGTGGTGATGTTGGTTTGGTTTATGCAGAGCTTTACGGCAGACTTAATGAGGTTGGTGATGTTTCCGCCCGCTTCCTCAGCGAAGGGGGAGAGGAATTGGTAGCACTTGGCGGCCCTGGCGGCGTAGGTGTGGGATTGGTTTGCGCATGTTTCATTAATGAAACGGTGGTCTTGGTCCAAAGCGGTGGCGGTGGAGGCGGAAGAAATGATGAAGAGGAAGATGAAGAAGATGATCATTGGGACAAATGGGATACAACAAGTCTTCATACTCATTTTGATGGAGGAAGGGAGAGGGGGTGGGTACGCTTAAGTAGGAAAACTGTTAAACAATATAAATAACTCTGTTCCTGGGCCAAAACCATAAGCTTGAGCTTCTGGTTGAGTTGGTTCCTTGACATAGTATCGGAGCCTCGTTGATTAAGAGGTCACGGGTTCGAAACTCTGTGCCACGCAGTTTAAAAAAAATTAAGGTTTCACAAGACTCGAAAAAAGACTACGCCTGCACGTGAGAGAATATAAATAACTGTTCCTGGGCCACAACCATAAGCTTAAACTTGTGGTTGAGTTGGTTCCTTGACAAAAACCATCACGGAGTGAATTTACTATTATAACCTCGATCACCTTTTTTTTTTCTCTTTTGAATTTTGAGCACAAATCATGGATTAAATTGGAGTAAAGTATGTGTTGACATGGAGGAATTTACTTAAATAGCACCAAAACATAAAGACTTTCTCTAAATAGCATCTGTTTTTCTTCCCAATGTATCACTTTCAGTCATTATCCCATTAGTCATTATTCAAAAAAAATATTTGTCATCACCGGACATTATAAACATTATAAAGTTCTATTTAAAGAAAAACAGATTAAGTGTTATTTTACGAAATGACTCAAGTTTTAGTGATATTTAGTACAAATATTCCTGGGTAGATTTTGCAGTTAAGAAACCTCCCTGCTCGCGTAGGAGTAAACTTACACATTGATGTCATTGACGCATACAGTTAAATCACTTGGGGCCAGTCATTGTGGGTCGCCTTGAAATTAGGAGCCACTTTGAAAAAATCTTAGGAGTTTAGCTTTAGAGAATTTACAATGGGACTAAAACCGTCCCGCCAGCTACCCAATAACTTTTCATTTCGTACCAAAATTCTGTAATGATATCGCTATGAAAACTCGTCTCTTCATTTTTTTTACATTATTCATCATTTTTTTGATTCAAAACTTATACCACCTCCGTCATAGGGTTTTTGTCCACTTTAATTTTTACACACCATCCAATGCACTTCTTTAATCTATTTTATCTTGTAATTTGTATATTAAAAAATTATAAAATTATATATTAATAATCTATATGTTAAGACAAATCAAACAAGATCACACATGAATATATTTAGGCTTACACATTGAGAGAATCAGATGAGTCAAAGTGCTTAAATGAACAGTTCCAAAAGTCAAAAGTGGACAAAAACTGAGGGACGAAGGGAGTATAACTTAATACAAATTTTTATTTTAAGAGAAAAAAGATGAATAACTTTTAAAAAAAGAATTGTAACAACTTTAAAATAAAAAAAATAACCGTACACCATCAAATTACGAAATACTCCGTACTACACAACTAAAAGGATCATTTTAACATGCCTAATATTAAAATTACATAAACTAAAAACATTTAAGAAGTGATGAGAGTGAATTGAGAAGGATGAGAGTGATGAGTTAGAATTGAAGATGTGTCCAATTTATTGAGTTAAAAAAATGAAAAAAATTTTTAAGGGGGGGGGGGGGTCAAGAATGATTTTTTTACTCGTTATTTTGGCTCATTCATTGAATCCAAAGTAAATTTCGATTTGAAAACCAAATTAATGTTTTTGGTAAACATATTACTCCACCCTTTTACTTTCTTTTTAAAGCATTCAAAACACAAATTAAAGCATCACAAACACAATGATGATATTATAAAGTCATGGTTCCATGGCAATTTTCATTTGGATCAGCCACCATGTTTGTGAAACAAAAACTTTATAAATGTATTATAATGATAAGAATATAAAAAAAATCTTTCTTGGGCCACAATCACACGCTTGAGCTTTTGGTTAATTTGGTACCTTGAAATAATATCAAAGCCACATTGACTAAGAGTTTGTGTTAGAGTATATAACAATCATTCCTGGGCCACAACCACAAGCTTAAGCTTTTGGGTTAGAATTGTGGATCCTGACTTTATATGCAAGTGGTTAATTTTACCCGACACTCTATCCGTTGTTCTTGGCCCGCCGGAATTTCAACATGTTATCAGAGCAGGTCCGGTCCGGGTTTGATTGTTCATGGTTGTTTGGATGTGGGTTTAGCAAAAATGAGCTACCCATCTGTGGTTTGGGCTGAGTTGGCTAAAAAGAGATTGAGATGCCATCGGCTGTTGTGTGGGCTAGCTATAAGAGATTGAGATGCTAGACCCGTTTGTCCAAGTGCTAACTAGGCCAGGATAGTTACCACTTGCGGGGGAGTGTTGAAGTTCCCACATCGGAAAATAAAGATGAGTATCACTTGCATATATTGAAGGGTGAAGCCCTACCTATCAGCTTAAGCTTTTGGGTTAGAATTGTGGGTCCCGACTTTATATGCAAGTGGTTAATTTTACCCGACACTCTATCCGTTGGTTGAGTTGGTTCCTTGACATGGTATCAGAGCCTCGTTGACTAAGAGGTCACGGGTTCAAAACTCAGCGCCACCCAGTTTAAAAAAATTAAGGTTTCACGTGCAAGGCTCAAAAAGGTCACGCCTGCACGTGAGGGGGCGTGTTAGAGTATATAACAATCATTCCTGGGCCACAACCACAAGCTTAAGCTTTTGGGTTAGAATTGTGGATCCCGACTTTATATGCAAGTGGTTAATTTTACCCGACACTCTATCCGTTGTTCTTGGCCCGCCGGAATTTCAACAGTTTGCGAGTTCAAAATTCAACGCAGGGTTCGAAAAAAACTACGCCAGCATATGAGGAGGCCTGTTAGAATATAAAACACCTTTCCTGAGCGACAACCGTAAGACACATAAAAATATAAAATCATGAGATAAACTAAGGGGTTAGAAGAAGATAGAGAATTAGGATTTAGAAGAAGTCAAGAAGAGATAGAGATTAACGTGAGAGAAAGTGGTGACTAGGTACCATCAGTTAAATTTGCCATTCTTTTGTTCCCATTAATGCAATGTTTAATTGATAAAAGTAAAAATAAATTTACTATCTTCTATTCTTCTTCCCTTTTTAATCAATCTTCCTATTTACTGCTTTTCAATGGTCAAATGATAGGTTTTTCTTCTCACACATTTTTCCACTAATCATTTGATAAGTTTAAATTTTCAAATTGTACCACTTGTTTTGTAGAACTTACGATGTAGACAAAATTCACATTAATACCCTAATAAATTTGTGATTTTACAATAATATTCAGAAATTAGATAATTTAGACCATTGATCCCATAAATTACTCAATTTTACACAAATAATTTAGAACTTTGATCCCTAAGCTGAATATGTGGCATTTTAAACAACGACCGTATAATTATTAAGATCTTTGCAACGAATATAAATTAGATTAAGAAATATGTACTTTAAAATTCTTTATTTTTCTGAAACATTATTTTCTTTTATTTTTTATTACTTTGTAGCTATCAACACATACTTGATAGTTTATCGTCATTATTTAAAATGCCATGTATATTCTTCTTAGCAACAGTGGTGTAAATTATTAAATTTTAGAGGATTAACGTAAAATCACAATTTTCTTTGGAGTATTCGTGTGAATTTTTCCTATAGTGTACTCCGTACTACATATTCCGTAGTTCTTAAATACTACTCCCTCCTATTTTGAAAACTCCTATTCTTTCAATTTTCTCTTTTATCAATTCTTACTATATCTATTACATCTTACTTTTTGACTAATAATTTGTCTATCACATCTTAATTTTATTCATCATGTCAAAGACAAAATTAGAAATTCAACTACAAATATATATATACACTTCTTATTTCTCTCACAAGTCAAAATGAAAACCGTTGTAAAAAACGGAAGGGTACATAACTTTTGTTTTCTAATTAATTCTACCAGGAGTATAAAAATATTAAAATAAATTCGGTCATATCCTACAATGTAAAATTTGCACTAAATAAGACTAAAACATAATGACTTTTCCAATGTAGGATTTGAACTTTTTTATTCCCTAAATAGAACTTGATAATGACCTAGTAGGAAGAATGATGGACATTTACTTAAATAATGACTATTTCTTAATGACCAAAAGTCCTACATTGAGAAATTAAAATATATGGTCTTATATTTGGAAAGTCATTACTCCCTCCATCCCGGAGTATTCGTCCAGTTTTGACTTTTGGAACTGTTCATCTAAGCACTTTGACTCATCAAAATCTCTCAATGTGTAAGTCTAAATATAGTCATGTGTGATCTTGTTTGATTTGTCTTAACATATAGATTATTAATATATAATTTCTATAATTTTTTAATATACGAATTACAAGATAAAATGAATTAAAGAAGTGTATTTGATGGTGTGAAAATGAAAGTGGACAAATACTTTGGAACGGAGGGATTATGTTTTAGGTAGGGTAACATATCCTAAAGATAGAGGGAGTATATATGAGGTTGAGAATCATTTGTTGAAAAGAAAATTAATACTCCGTAAAAGGATTTGTATGACAAGGCAAAAATACTCCCTGGTAAAAGTAGGGGAAAAAACATAAGAGGATAGAACCTCTAAACAAAAAAAAACAAAAAAAAAGGTAATACTATAGTAATTGCTTTAAAAAAGATAAAGAGTAAATCACGGATTAGTGATATTAGCAAACTGATTGAACAAAGCCAGCGTAATGTGCGTCACCTCCACCGCCGGCGCCACCATTGCCTGCACGGTGGCGTTCACGGCGGCGTCCACCTTCTTCCCGGCTTCTTTTAACCCGTCCAAACACGTCGCCTCGTCCGTCACCGCCGAGCTCAGCCACGTCTGGATGTCGCTAATAATACCAAGCGCCGATTGGCCGCCGCCGGGAAGGCGTTTCATCTCCTCCGCCGATCTCGCCATCTCCGCCTTGGCATCCTTCAGGTTGTCCATGCAGTCGCGGAGCGCACCCCCTGCCGGCGCGTTGGTGGCGGAAATGTACTGCGCGATGTTAGTGGCGGTGGAAGTGGTTTTGCTTATGGTGAGCTGCAACGCCGCCTTAAAGAGCTCCCGGTTGTTTTTGGGCACGAGTCCTCCGGCGAGGGGAAGTAACCATTTCTTGCAACTCGTGAAGTCTACGCTCCGGTGCAGTAGATCTTTGCACGTTTTGTCGATGAAACCAATGTCGTCGGAACTGGCGGCGGAAGAAATGAGGAAGATGATGATAATTAGTGGGGTGAATGGAATAGTAATACCACAAGTCTTAATACTCATTTTGATGAATGATTAATAATATTGGGAGGGTTCCTTCAAAAAAAAAGAATATTGGGAGGGTGGTAATTAAGGAGAGGGGGGAGGGTGGGTGTCTTTAAGTAGGAAAACAATCAAGGAGTGAAATTACTCTTATAACCTCCTTTTTAGCGCAAATTACGGGCTAAATTCATGCCGTTTGGATGCCGTCTCATGACTGCCACCTTACATAAGTAAAACAAAATATTTCAAAAGTAGATAAATAAAACAAAAAAGAAAATTAAAAGTAGAAATATATAATACTAATATTATGTTTGGTTCAAGAATTTTAGAAGGAAAAAAAAAGAAAATAATTTTATCTCATTTTCTTTACTAAAATGACAGGAATCTTTTTTTAAGGCTCCGTTTAGTACACGGAATTTAAACTATAGAATTAGAATTAGAGGAAATAATTCTAATTTTGTTGTTTGATAACACGATTAGAAATCATTCTTAATAGGATTAAAACATAGAGAAAAGTATCAAAATAAGATTTTCATGTTTTTTTCTCGAAATAGGACTTTGCACTGTGGTAATGTGGCACTACATGTGCACGTTACTATACTTTTTTGGTAATGTAAGTCCTATTTTGGGAATAAAAACATGAAAGTCCTATTTTGGTATATTTTTAATGTTTTAGTCTTACTTTGGTCTTTCTCCTTAACACAAAATTACAATAATATGTGGATTTGGAATCGGTAGTGTCAAAAATGAATTGAAATTAGAGAACTCAATTTCATCCAAATCAATTCCATAGAATTTGAACTCTCAATTTAATTTCAATTCTGTCAATTCTGTTTACCAAACAGACCCTTAGGCCCCGTTTGGTACATGGAATTTAAATCATGGAATTGGAATCAAAGACTTCAATTCCAATTCTGGTGTTTGGTAGCACAAAAATTATGTGGATTTTGAATTGATAGTGCAAAAAATGAATTGAAATTGGCAGAATTCAATTCTATGGAATTGAATCCCATGGAATTTCAATTTCAATTCAATTCCAATTCCGTCAATTCTGTATTCCAAACGGACCCTTACCTAAGGCCCCGTTTGGTACACGAAATTCAAATTATGGAATTGGAATTGAAGACTTCAATTCCAATTCTGGTGTTTGGTAGCACAAAAATTGTGGGAATTTGGAATTGATAGTGCAAAAAATGAATTGGAATTGGCAGAATTGAATTCTATGGAATTGAATCCCATGAAATTTCAATTCCAATTCCGTCAATTCTAGTTCAACCTGGGAATTCTATGGCAGTATTTGGTACATAAAATTGGAATTGGTGTCTTTCATTCTCCCGGGAGATATTCAATAATGAAAAGAAACAACCTCCTACAAATCTGTTTCTTTTTTAAACTTATGCGGGGTATATTATTGCCTCCTAATTACTCCGTTTGACTTTTAGGCAACGGAATAACGGACTTCTTCTTACTTTTCCGGTTATCCCGCAAAGCATATTGAGAAAGAAACCCTTGTCCGAAAGACTTTGTTTAGTTCATTTTTTTACTTCTTCCTACTAATATCGGTTACCTTATTTGTACATCAAATTTTATCTTATTTGTCATAATATTGGAGTAGATTTTGACACACTTCATTTGTCAAAGTAACCGTCTAGTCGTTCATTCTTAACGGCTCTAGTCTTTAGCCATTGCTTGTGAGGAATACATATCCAACGGGCTATGACCCGTTTAACCCGATTGCTCATCAGCTGAAATTCCATACTCATCGACTCGTATACCTTTAGGTACGATGTTGGTGGATAAAAAATCAAAGGGATGAGAAGTCCATTTGCAAATGGTCAATTCTCAATTGTAGGGGTGAGTAAGGACTGGACCGATCCCGGAATTTTCCAAAAAAACTGAGGATACCAAATTGAAAAATACTAAACTGATAAAATATCTCAAAAAAAATTGAACTGTACCGAATTGAATGGTCGATCTGGTATTTGAGAATGGTACGAGGTGACTTTCCATACCAAAAATGCTCAACCAAACATATATACCAATATATTATAAAAATAAAAATCTTTTTATATTTCTTCATTAAATAATACGGAGTAGTTTAAGTTTCATTATGTGTAAATTATACTTTAATTTGTTCTTTTTTACTTTTTTTGTAGATGAATATATGAATGTTAAGAAATATTTGAAATGCTATTTTGTTATCATTTATTTTTTTTAATTTTTAAAATATAAACTGAGTTTATAAGCATTTCTTTTAATTTATTATTCATTTTAAAAGTTTTCATCTTTTTTTATTTACATGCACTTTCGATTTTTTAAAAATAAAAAGGTTTTGTTACATTTTAAGTTGTAAGCAAGGTACATATATATATATATATATATATATATATATATATATATATATATATATATATATATATATTTTGATGTGTACAGATACCTAACTATTCTGAACCATACCAAACTGATACTTCGGGGTCGGGATCAATATGACGTAAAATCTGATACCGAACTGAAATATTTAGTTCAGTATCAGTACGAGCTGAATACCATACTTTACCACGCTCACCCCTAGTCAATCGGTTAGATACAAATTGGCCCAGTTGTCTACCTGAGGGAAATTTTTACCCACATCAGAAAACTAAGAAAAATATAGCAGGTTCATAAGTGCTCTTGAGTTGAACTGGTAATTTTTTTGGATTAGAAAAATTAACTTTCAATTTTTTCAACATCTTCCAGTTTCATCTAACTCCTTCCTATTTCTTCCAACAGGCTTTAAAAAGATATTTATATATGATGACTATACAATAACATTATGTATCCAAATTTATAACATACCACTTTAAGTACGGGCAAAGATGAAATCTTTTTTTAATCCAAAATAGAAGTTTTCTTACATATTTATTTTAGTGATCATTTAATTGATCAGGATCTTTTTCTAGTTTTTTCTAACTTCTACCCTTTTAGTTTCTTCCAACATCTATTTAACTCTAAAATTCTAATCCAAAAGAACGACCTTAATGTGGTTTAGTCCAATTATCTTATGACTCAATCTAATGATCTCTACTACATCTTAAAATTTATTTTGAGGGCATATGCATGGCACTGTGTTTGGCGTTTGTCTCGGAAGCTATACCACGCAATGACCTCGATTGATCAACCACATTCGGATTCCTTTTAATATAATTTGCCCATAAATTAGGACCTATGAATCATTTGCAAATGAGTAATTTACTTAAATAGGACTAAAACATAATGATTTTCCCAATATAGGATCAAATGTTTTTATTTCCTAATGTATGACCTTTGGTCATTATCAAGTAGTCATTATTAAACTAAATGTCCATCATTACTGGACATTATTTCTTCCACTAGGTCATTATTAAGTCTTATTTAAAGAATAAAAAAGTTTAGGTCCTACATTTGGAAAGTCATTATGTTTTAGTCTTATTTAGTGCAAATTTCACCGCAAAACTATATATAGGGATCTAGTAAGCATGCACTTAAAATAATTCAGCAATCTGGAAAGTACTTTCAGATCTTGTAAACACTTTATCCATAATTATATGAAGACAAAGCTTTTGAAAATTATCATATTTGAAACTTTAAAGGTAATTCTCAATCAAATGGTACCAAGTTAATCTGAGATATGCATGTAAACTTTTTATGAACACCTTAATCTTATTTATGAAAAAAATAATCATTACCAATTTTTTTATCAAAATACAAAGAGTTACAAATTAAAGTGAAAAGTGCACTCAAATAGGAAGAATACATCGATTATTGAGATGAATATATAAGTATAAAATACTTGTAATAATCCCTCTATCTCAATGTATTCTTACTCAAATTTTTGAAGAACAAATGTTACTTCACCTTTCATTCCAATGTATATTCACTAATATTAAATAAAAGGGGAATTTACTTAAGTAGCACTAAAACATAATGATTTTCCTTTAATAGCATCACATGTGTTTTTTCCCAATGTAACACTTTTAGTTATTATTCAAGTAAATGTTTGCCATCACTGGACACTATTAAGTGCTATTTAGAAAATAAAACAGTTTAAGTAGTATTTAAGAAAATGACTTAAGTTTTAGTGCTATTTAGTGCAAATACCTCTAAATAAAAATGCATGCATGCATATCATGTAGGTGAACATGTATGAAAAGAAAGTTGAGATGAGAGTTCGTTGGGCTAAGTAAAAGTATCATTATTCAACCCCGCCTAACAAGGAATAGAATTGACCAAAGCCAGGGTAAGGTCGGTCACGTCCGCAACCGGCGTGACACACGCCTTAACGGCGGAGCTGAGGACCAATATGGCCACCGCATTCTTCGTCGTCGTCGTCTTCAATGCGTTCACGATTTCATCGAACCCATCGGTACAAGTGGATTGATCCGTCTCTGCCGTACTGAGCCACGTCTGGATGTTGCTAATGTTGAACCGAAACTCCGACGGGTCCCCGGGCGGGTAGAGCTCGTTCACCTGATCGATCGAGCTCTTCATCCAGTCCATGGAGTCCTGGAGATTTTCCATGCAATCACCGAGCGCGCCCCTGGCCCGCTCGCCGATCTTGGCATTTTTGTGGGAATGGTTGTAGTAACTCGAGATCAAGTTGGTGGCGAATTGGGCTTGGTTCAGGCTGACTTTTAAAGCCGCCCGAACCAAGTTTATGATATTCTGCTCGAGTTCTCCCGCCAAGCAGGAGAACCATTGGTAGCATTTCGTCGCGTTGGCGTTCGGTAGATGGTTACATGTATAACGGATGAATTGAATGTCGACGGAAATGGCGGCGGCGGCGGGAGAGGCGGTGGTGGAGGAAATGATGAAGAGGAAGAAGAAGAGGATGATCATGATTAATGTGGCATATGGAATATTAGTAGTCCTTTGGCTAGAAGTTTTCATAGTCATTTTTGATGATTAATTAATGATGGGAGAATGATGGGAGGGAAGGTGCGGATTGGTAGGTTTAAGTAGGAAAACCATCACGGACTGAAATTACAATTATACCCTCCTCCCCTAAAAATGGGGCCGTACTTTTAGTTAACATTAATTTTAAGAAAAATAAAATTGAATCATTGGGTAAAATAAATGAGTGCTCATTTTTTTCGGAATAAGTAATAGAGAAATTTACCTAAATAGGACTAAAATATTATAATGACTTTCCCAATATAGGACCATATGTTTTTATTTTCCAATGTAAGACTGTTGGTCATTATCAATTAGTCATTATTCAATTAAATATCCCTAATTGCTGGACATTATTCCTTCCACTAGGTCATTATTAAGTCATATTTAGAAAATAAAAAAGTTTAAATCTTACATTAAGAAAGTCATTATGTTTTAGTCCTATTTAGTGCAAATTTCACTAAGTAATATTGAAATTCTTCATCCCACCTTAAATGTTCTTCTCAATTTCTATTAATGTTCTCAATTTTTAATAAAATTTTTAAAAATATTTTCTCAAATTATTTGATAATATATGGGGAAAAAATTATACCCTACCCTAGGAATCTCTAGGATATAGATCAAAATGGAAAACCGGTATATGGAATATTCAAAACTAACATCGCCTAGAAATCTTCTTTCTTTTTTTTCTTTTTTGACTTAATAGCACCCTTGTCTCCTAATTCTCAAACCTATCCATCTTTCGCACACTTTTCATGGGCTGGTAAATCGATCTTTTTTAACACAAAAAAAAATCATTCCTTTTGTGATATCAATGCACTGAGTTCCAGAAAATGAGAATGAATCTTATGACCACGTAAGAAGTTGCTTGTTTATAAAAAGAGTACAGTGAAAAAGTAATTAAAACCGCCCGGGATTGACTCGGATATTTACCTAAGAGAAAGTGAATGAACTTTGAGTCTAAATCGGGTAATATGAAATGAGATCTTTCCATGATCATCTTAAAACGTATCACAATAATTAGTCTCGCGAGAAGTCGAATCCGGTCACAACGCAGAGAGAGTTTGAAAGAGTTTGTTTGTTTTTTGGATTTTTGGAAAAACATCATCCTTTTCTTCTAAGTGAAGTAATCGCATGGTGAGCCTAACACTGTAAAATCAAACTCAAATTTGTTTGACCCTAAAAGTTTAATTTGGAGAATTGAATTATTTATTGATAGTCTTAGTATATGTTGTTTAATACGGAGTATAAGGAAATCACTCTAAATATGAGTAAAACATAGAAAAAATACTAAAATAGGAATTCTATATTTTTTTTGAACAAGAGTTCGTACTGTGGTAAGGTGACATTGTACATCGGCATTTTATTACATTTTTTCGTAATATACATGATCATGATTGGTAATGTAAATTAATACTCCGTACATTATAATTCATATTTCGAGAATAAGAATATGGAACACCTATTTTGGTATTGCTTCAATGTTTAATTCCTATTTTAGTCTTTTCCTCCTCAATATGAAATGTTCTCAAAATTATTCTCCTAGCCCTCTCATTAGTCTCTTACGTTTTGTTGGTAATCCTTTATGTTACAATATCGATCTAGGGTTGGAAATTCATTCAGAAATAAATACTCTCTTCATCCCATATTTTCCCCTAGTTTGACTTTTATGGTAAATGTTTTAAAATTTTAATTGCAAATTCTGGGGAAAATACATTGAATTTTGATAATAATTTATCATCAATATATTCATTTTGAAATATCATACTCCGTAGTTTTTATATTCTATATTCATATATACATAAATGGAGACATTAATGTTTATTTTGTTACACTAGAGATCATGAAAAGTCAAATTAGAAAATACTCCGTAGATATGAGGGGGTAATGGTGCTACAATATGAGTAGATTATATAACTATTTATATTGTACAATTTTGTGGGTGGATAATCAAAACTTCGTTCTTGTTTTTTTTTTGTTTTTTATTTTTTATTATTAAATGTGAGAGTTTCTTTTCACTTTAAACTATTGGTCACAAACTTTGATATGGATTGCACCTTTCATAATGAAATTTTTGAAGATAAGCAAAAAAAATTCAAACAAAATAAGTAAATGAAAATAAAATAAAAATGAGTGGTTATGATCGAAGAGGGTGGGGGACATTTGAAGTACACCTTTGGTATACCCCTAGCATCTCCCAAGTCATAAAACTAAAGGAGTTACTCAGTATGTGTGAAAACGGCATAAAGGCTTGATATTTTCCTCGGATTAAAGATATAAGTTGATTAGTTGAATGCACTAAAAAAAAGTTGATTAGTGGAATGGTAGAAAAAGGAGATTAAAATTCTCTCTTACCATCCTAAATTCACATTCTTCATTTCTTTATTTTGAGTAGTTGTTAGACTTCTTTATAAACAAATACTTCATCCGTTCTATAAAATCTTTCTTCTTTCTTTTTTCATCCATTTCAAAAAAGAAATTCTAATTTCTATTAAAAAATATAATCATTTTTACCCATACTAATTCTAATCCTATCTATCAGTAACATATATTCACTATTAATCTATTCATCACATTCTACCATTACCCATCACATCTAATGATATTTAATTTTTTGAGAAATCAACACCAAAATACGCTCTCCTTAAATTCTTTAAAAATCAAAACCAGAAAGGTTTTGTAGGACGCATATATGGAGTAATTTATTTGATGTTTATTTTGTTAGCAAGTTAGCAACCAATGTACACTATTCACCGTTTTATTCTAAAAATTATACTTCTTCCGTCCAAATTAAGTTATCTATTTATTATTCACCCGATTAAATTCTATTGACTTTCTTTTCTTATTTTCATTAATTATTTGATAAAATAATATAGTCATGTCACCTTTTTGTTTCATATAACTTTTGATGTAAATTTTAAATATTTAAATTTTATTTTTTAATTTCTGACGTAACTATGACCTACTCGCTTCGTTTCAATAAACCATTCCTCTTCCATTTTTCCATTTCCCTAAAACACTTTCACTTTCTATAAAAAACTACTTTTACTTATATTTTTTAATATTCTACCTATCACATCATATTTTTTCACCAATAATATAACTATCACGTCTTATTCTTACCCATTACATCAGGGAGAAAATTAAAAAGTCAATCACAAATATACTTTCCTTATTTTCGCTTTCGACTAATTACGACCCTGAATTTCTTTATTGTGTAGGTTGGGCCTAAATCTTGGGCCGGGTTGCTCCAACCCTCTTATGGGAGTTTTCCTTCAAAATAAATTGTTGACATCTTGGACCTAAGTGATGATAACCGACTCTCAATATACCCATTATTTTTCTTGATAATTCAATAATACCACTAAAAAATTACTTTTACTCGTTAATTATTCATATAAAATATACCTGAATTTTCATTGCAATAACATGCTTATCCATTCACCCTAATAAGAATACGGCCCGGTTCTGTGGCTAATGAAATCAGTGGTCACGGAAGTCACTGTCCTGATTCAGATGCTCCGTTTATAAAATTGATGATTCTTATCCTTATAAACCCTCATGCCCAGTCCTGACCCCAACTCATCCCCCACCTACTTCAATTGCACTCCGTAATTTTAGTTGACTTTGAGGTCAAAACTTTTAGACTTTAAAGTCAACTATACTTACAGGGTGTAATTGACGTAGGTGGGGAGATCAATTGGGATCGCGACTGGACATGGGGATTTACTAGGGAGTTAAGAGAAGTAGAAATCATCTATTTTACAAACGGAACATCGTAGGGAATAGTGGCTTCTGTGGCCACTGAACCCAGCCGATAAGAATATACCATGACTCTTTTAAGTTTTGACTTACAATTTTAATGTCCCCTCTAATGCTCTATTTAATCCAACACTATCCGACTCGGTCTGAGGAGACCCTCGAAGATTAGGTCCATCTTTTTTTTTCTTAAATCCAGAACTAGTTCTTATCCCACCTAACCCTCTATCCTCTGAAAAAAAAACTAGAAGTAAAATATAGAGAAAATATCAAAATTAAAGTTCTATGTTTTTTATTCCATAATAAGAATATAATGTCTATAGTGCGAAAAAATACAGTAAGATGTCACTATACACTATTATAATGTCACAATATAAAATTCTATTTTGAGATAAAAACTAAAAACTTCTATTTTAAAAATAAATATTACTCCGTACTTTGTATGTTTTACTTCTATTTGAAGTGATTTCTTTCTCTCAAACCTTCACCTTTTAGTTCACCTCTTACACCTTCCCCTAGCCCCTAGCGCTTAGGGAGGTTGAGTTGGGGAAAAGACTGGTAAAAAAAAAGTGTTTTTCTTTCAATGTATCTGTCAACTTGAGGAAAAGAGTAGTGGTAAAAAAAAGGCCACAGAAGAATGCATATATTTGAAACAATGCTGTATAAATAAATTCATAAGGGCATATCAGGCAGCATTATTCCTGACTACTCAGTTCCTTACCAATCAAAAGACACCACCACAAAGAATGTACAGAAAAAAAAAATTAAAAAAAAATTAAAAAAAAACTCAACACAATATCAACTCCCATCAAGTAACAGAAAAAAAAATGCACCTATTTAGTCTCTTAATATCATCCTCTCTCTCTCTCTCTCTCTCTCTCCCTCTCTCTCTCTATATATATTTTTTTTTGAAATATATATGTATATATAAATGGTGGACTATAAGTTGCAGCCTCTTTTCTCTCAAGGTTTAAGTTAAATGGAAGGTGGGAGGAGGAGTACTGCCGGCGGGATACCTCTGCCTCCGGGGACGTCTAGTCGTCTTCCCCCACCCCGTTAGGCTCTTGTC